CAGAGATTTCAAGTTGGACGAATTTGCAGGCGTTCTGTTCTGAACTCCTTCACCTAGGAGGTCTCGGCATTGTGCCCTCCCGAGTATATAGTTTTCCGAGATTTGTCACTTTAGGGTAGTATTTTTTTTCCAACTATAACGACGAATCTGCAATTTTCTTTTAAGAATACATATTGCAGGCCATTCGCATTAACCTATGACACTGACATGAGCCACGCGCTCGTGGCAGCTGTTAGCGTGTATCTGTTTTCCGTCCTCAGCTAGTTCGATCTGATCGATAATATAAATTAGCGGAAAAGTTTTCGATTTTCTACCCACGATCATCAAAATTGACTAAAGAATACCAAACATAGATCTAACCTGTAAACTACTCAAACTAGTATAGACCTACACATATGTATTTATGTGTGAGATTTTCAAAACGCAAGATCCCAAATGCGTGAGTCTCACACTAAATGCGGGAGACTTTGTAAAGTCTGTTTTGGTCTTGAGAAGAAATCATTTTACCGTGACATGTATTGAACCCAGGACACTGAGATTGAACGGCAAGCATCATAGCCACCATATTATTCAACTCCAGTTTGTATTTCAATTTTACCTGTTTTGATCTAATTAGACCCTACCTCAATACCTATTTTGGCGTCATGTGATGCTCTGAAGAAAGCCGGTTTTGGTTTTAGCGGTACTTACAGAATCGATCCCGATGGTGCCAGTAATGGATTGGAGCCGTTCTCGGTAGTTTGTGATATGACATCAGATTTGTCTCTGGGTACGTTTGATTGTTTCTTACCGTATTATGCCCCTTCTTTGAAGTTTCAGTACAATATATTTTCGAAGTTCTTAAGCTCTAAAATGTATACACTTAAGTGTCAATAAGTATCTAGACAAGTTAAATATCGACTATCTTTTGCATTAGGCCTTATATATATAATTTTTAATTTATGTGTGTTGTATGTGAATGCTTATTCTTATTTTGTTTGAAGAACAATTTTTGATTATATTTATTTCCCGTCTGTATAATATTTCCTATACTTTGTTTACAAAGGTTATACAACGGTTCACCACGACAAAGAAGAAGACGGTGATGTGAATGGTTTCGAGGATAAAGGGTCATTCAGAGTGAGTGTTACTTACGATCTTCGGCGGGAGCAGATAGAGGCGATCAAGGCAGTTTCATCTTCGTGCAGACAATTTATTAAAGTAAGTATTTAGACCTCTCTGGGGCCTGATCCTTGTAATGCTACAAACACAGATGATCGGTGTTCCTCCTAACCATAAACTAATTCCTCAATGCTCTTACTTAATACTGGCACCCAATACAATCTAATATTTACTCTCAACACTTATAGGCCTCTACTCCAGTACAGGTCTCCCTCCAATTAAAGACCACTTTCGGGACTGGGGTTTTCATAAACAGTTTTTGTGTTCAATTAGAAAACAAAATTTTAAAAAATATAGACAGGCATTTCTTCAGGGCACAGAAAGGTGATACTGGAGGCCGGTCTTTCATTAAAGAGGTCTGTAATTAGAAACTCGTCGTACCTTATAGACAATTATATGAAATTGTATACCACACTCATACTTACAACTTCATAGTAGGCTACTCTATACTCAAGCTTGATACTCAATATCTTCAGAACTTCACGCACTTAATAAGTACATTTACTTCTACACTTAACTCATTAATACTAGTATCCAAACTTTGTTTATAAATGTACCTTGAGTTCAGTTGAATAAATAAAAGATAAGAATGGACAATTAGCATCAATTATTTTTTATATTTCGTAGAGTTGATTGTATATTTTGTATCTTTACAGTATGAATGTATCGGATCATTGTTTAAAGACAGACATCAACACTGGATCTCATTTTATGGCAGAACGATGGTCAACTGGGGAGGTGTCCCAACAGGAATTAGGGGATGTGCATGCGGGGTGACGGGTAGGTAATTATTAATTATTTATATATATATTTATATATAATATATATACATACAATATATAAATAAATATTCCATTTTATAGTATGGAGAATAATTACTACATCACTTGTAATTTTGAAAGTAAGAAAATAAAACAATTACGAATTTTCGACTTGTGCGCAGTCAACCTTGCCCAAGACGACTGGGTAAATAATGATTGAAAATTGAAGCTTGTAAAACTCGACCCTCGCAAAAAGGCTCAAACGAACCCAAACGAAAAGAAGCAACTCACCATTTAAACACAATTTGGGGGAGACTCTAAACCATCTAGCGGTAATGCTATAATTATATATAAATATTTAACGTCAATACGTTAAAAGTGAAAGGAATCTGCGAGTGTGAATAAAAATGTGTCACCAACCGGGATTTTAAGTATTTGAAATATATTAAGATTTTATTGCTTTATAAGCGTAGTCTCTATAAGCATGGGGAAAATTATGCTCTAAGGTAAATGTAGTTCTGTATTTATTACTGAACATAGTGGAATGACTTATTAGAAGCATTAGCATTACGTGGTAGGCTGGCCAGTTTCTTTCCACACTGCCTTTTTAATCTCCCTAGTATATTTTAACCAGGTAGGAAAAGGCTGTCTAAAATAATCTCACCTCTGCCGCCACTATGGGCGTCGATCGTTGGGAGACAGGGGGACACGTCCCCCACTTTTGAACTTTTGAAAGCAGGACGCCATCATGATAATGATAAATTAAGTAAATCACCTTTATGTTTATGAAATAAAAATGTTAACTAATGTTGTTGTGCTTCATCTCAATTTTGACCGTAAATTTGACGGTAGTATTTCCACTCACAATATTGTAGTCGCAATACACTTGCACAAAAGTGAAATTCAAAAAGAGGAAAAACTTCTTCATTGATCTTAAAATTACTGTACATGCCAAAGGCGGATCCACACCCCTCCCCATGTCAGTCCCGCCGAAAAATCAAAAAGAGGAGAAAACATTTGAGACGAGTAAAAAGGACAAGACTAAGACGGTGCTTGTTAGCCATTGTTACAGAATGTACCCAGCTAGTAGAACGGCTAGCCATGCTCGTCGTTAACGCCTATGCACTCTCATGCGGCGGTGGGCAGGGCCACCGACCCTTAGGGCCCCTTCCGTGCCCCTACCCATAGGGTCGGTCCTCGCTCTAAAGCACATTGATCCAAAAGGGCTTCGTTGATACATAACAGCATCGACTGTAGGACATATATATCATATTAATCCAGTGGGGTAAGGTGCACAGCCGGACAGTATCCCCTACATTTGTCAAAATTTAAACAAAAAATGGCGATAAAATATTAAAATGTCTGAAAGAGTACAATATCCGAGCATCTAGAGGTGTCATAATCATAATTTGCTTTGCGACTCCAAGTATAGCGTATACTATAGATCCTTAATTAGACCTTTGTGACACGCCCGTGAGGAGAGGAGTGTCTAAGAAAGGGGAGCACAGCTTCCGTCGGGAAGAAGTCCATAATTTTGTATAGGAACACTGCTTAGAAAAAGCATTTTTACCATTGAGAGTTCCATTTCCATGCTTCTAAAGGGGCTTTTTGTGATGGTTTGAATACGTCCCACAACGGTTGGGGCTGAGGTAAGAACAAACTATGATTATGGCACCTCTAGATGGCCGGAAATGGCACTTTCAGATTAAAAGTTGAATACAATTTTGCCTGTTTTCTCCATTTTTCTCATAATTTTGAAAAAAATAAAAAATAAAAGGAGGTTGGGGTTGGGGGGGGGGGGGGCTGA